ACAACCGGAGAAGGAGCTGGGTTGCCTGCCTCCTGCTCATAAAGATGCACATTACATTATTACCAACTCCAGGTCTGCTGATAGAAATTCCATGCCCCAGTGCCTTCCCTGTGGGGGTGGGACCCGGGGCAGAAGTGACAAATCCATCACTTCTGGGATCGCCTGTCACTCCTAGGTGTGCATGACCACTCCAGGCCCCACGCTTTGGGGGCCCCGCAGGCCGCCGCAATTGGCCAGTGCGGTCTCGTCCGCCTAGGAGCTCTGTGGCCTGCCTGAGCAATTGCCCCTCTTTGCCCCCCCGTTGGCGGGTCTGACCAGCCCCAGTGGTTCAAAAATCACAAGTTAGCCCCCAAAAGTCAGGACACAGATTTTAAAAAAAGGAGTCATCTGATTCTTTAGCCTTCAGTGTATGTCTGCTGCCCCACCATTGGTGTGATCAGTTCAGCTTGAAGATTCAACCTTACGGTAAATGCACACACAAGAGTATGAGCCACCTCCCTGGCTGCTTAGAGGGGAACTCCACTAATCTTCCCCTTACCTCCTGGATGGAGCAAGCTGCCATTCTTCCCCACCCCAATCCCTCTCCTTCCTCCATCCACAACCTCTCAGCCCCTCTTGTCTATCTCCTGCCTCCACCTGTCCCCCACATTCTTCTCTTTCCCCTCAGTCTTCTGCTATCTCAGATTTTCCCACCCTGTCCCCACATTCCCTTTCCTCAAGAGTATCTCTCCCCACCCCCCAAGTTTCTACTGTCCCCCACATTCTCCTGTCCTCCAGCATCTCCTTGATTCCCCACAGCACTCTAAGCTGATTGGCACACTGTCTCTGTGTGTCCCCTAGATGTTCACCCGCTCCTCAATGAACTTCTCTGCCTCCTGACAGCACAGTGTGTGGCATCTTCAGTGAGGGTAGCCTTGCCTTTAGTCCCACTGCAAACACTGTAAAGTGGTGGCCATCTGTACTAAGGGGAGCCTGGCATCAGTCCTGCTGAGAACAGGAGACAGTAGCCACCCTATAAAAGGGCAAGACTTCATCCTTAGTGCATGAGAGGCTTTGAAACAAAAACCCCTATTACCCACCCCAGAACACACAATTCCTTCTCAAAAAGAGATCTTTCTGAGAGGTATATTATCTCACCATCAGGCAAGGGAGGCAAAGGGGCAGGTGCCCTCCCTACCTCCACTCCCAAATCTCTGCATCCTCCTTGCAGGAGACATCAGCATGAAGGCGAAGCAGCTGAAAAAAGGCTCCTGTGTAAGGTGCTTGCAATTCCATAGACAAGTCGAGAGATCCAGGCAGGACTTCCCTGCTCCTCTGCTCAAGGCTCAGGCTATTGCACCCAAGCAGAAATCTCTCTTTCCCCCTCGACCCCCGGACCTGGGCTACCAACTTCAGGCTCCCCGTTCGGTTTAGAAAAGTCCCTGACCCACCTCAGCTCCCCACTACGAGCTGCCCCTGAGTTGGCTCCCCCCGGCTCGTCTTCTCTCGCCTCTGCCGGTTCCCCTGGGTCTGCAGGCAGAGATTTCTTGCCTCCCCGCTGTTCAATTCTGCAGCCCTCCTACGACTCTCGCTGCTGTCTCCTCTTAGCCCAGACTCACCTCGCTGGGCTGGCAGCACGTGGGACCAGGGAAACCTAGTCCTCCTTGTTTGGGGCCGATGCTTCTTTGGAAACGGATTCAACCACGCAACTCTAATGCACAACTGCTGCAGTGGGCTAAATTACAAGTGAGAAGGACGGAGTGTTGGGGACAGGAAGTTCCTTTTATATTAATTTCCCCCCTTGCAGTAGTTCCTGGTCCTCTCTACAAAGGCGTTCGAGCTCTGTGGTTTAACCCTGTCACTGCGCAGACAGACACTAGCAGAAGGGTTGCAGCTGCAATTCAGCTAGCGGAGAGACAGCATGTGCAGGTACTGAATGGGACCCCGTCTTCAGTGTAGGAGGGATGGTGCCACAGGACCCTCGAGAGCTGGGCTTGTTTGCCTCTATAAAGAAAGACTTTCCGTCTTTTCCTTCTGCTGCATCTGCTTTTAACCCACTGTTCGTGTGACCATACAAAAAAGCCACTTTGCTCAAATAAAAATGCCTCTGTCCCCCCCCCAACAAACTATTTTGCAAAGCACTGGTGTCTCAGTGCCACTGGGGTAACTGCTACCCCCTCTGCCCCTGCTTGTGCCCTCTGACCCTCTGCCAGCACCTCACTCCTGGGCATAACTCCGCCTCCCCCCCCATTCCTGATTTTGCCCTTTAGCCCCTTTCCCAATGCTGCCTCCAGCTGCTTGACCCCCCAGACCAATAAATTTTCACCCCCTGGTCACCCCCTCCTCCGATTCGCCCCCTTTGCCACTTTTTAACCCCTCTCAAAAGCAGTCCGCAGAAACTTACGGCTAATAAGGACAAGTGAAGGGCAGTGGCTTCAGCAGATGTACTGAGCACGCTCACTACACTGTAAGTAGCACATTCCTACGGAGAGCACTTTAATACACTACAACTCAGGTGATCCCTGGCCCTTCTCAGGATGTTTCTTACACTAGCTCTGTCTGGGAACAATCTAGGAGAGGAAGAGAGCCAGCATTGGAATTACATATCCTGTAGCTTTGAGAGTAACAATTGACACTCATTATGGGACTATGAGGGTTCATCGGTTGATTCTGCCAAGGGCCATGGAGTAGGGTGGATGAGGGAGTTTGCTCTGTTCCTAAATATGTAATCTGTGTCTCATTTCAGTTTGTTTCTCTTCCCCAATGAAGCCTGCAAGAATACCTCTCACTGCCCATGACCTTCACTTGCACCTGTATAATGTCTTGGATTGTCTAAAGAGTTTGTCTGTTATTAGGGTTCAGTTCTCTTATTGATTAGACATCAGATAACCTAGACTCAACCAGTCATTTTATTAATTAAAGGTATGATTTGCTCAGATGCTGGCTCAGGATCTAACTAATCACCATATTTGGGGTGAGGAAGGAATTTCCCCCAGGTCAGATTGGCAAAGATCCAAGAGGGTTTTTTGCCTTCCTCTGTAGCAAGGGGCCTGGGTCACTTGCTGGGCTGAACTAGTGTAAATGGTGGATTCTCTGTAACTTGAAGTCTTTAACTAGATTTGAGGACTTCACTAACTCAGCCAGAGGCTATGGTCCTATGGCAGGAGTGGGTGGGTGAGGATTTGTTGCCTGTGATTTTCAGAAGGTCAGACTAGATGATCATGAAAGTCTGTTCTGGTCTTAAAGTAGCTGAGTCTGTAAATCAGCACAATGCAGAGACGTTCGTACATTACCAGATCTGGAAGACAATCTCTTGCAGTGGTCAGCCTGTCTCATATTTATATTCAAGTTGTTTACAACAAAACAGAGTATTCCAGCATTACCCAAGATTTACACACCAGTTTGTGCCAGTTTTTTATCCTGTTTTGAACATGGTATTCCAGAAATCAGCAAAGCTTAGAGACACCTGTACCTTGGTACAGTCTGCATGTTGGTCAAGCATCAACAAAATCATTTATCTTATCTTGTCATTTTGGCATGTCTCTGTTCCTGGCACAGAAATTACAACATTTCATATTTTCCCTTGGTTAAAG